TAAAAGTTTTTTTGACCAGTCACACAAATCAAAAGCACACTGACAGTAGTTCAGTCCAAGCACTATAAGCACACGTACCTTTGGTTAAAACAATGCTTGCTTATTTTGAATACAATACTTGCTTTTAAGCCTTAAAGCAAAATGCACATAGCTCCATTATTAACCTTAAAACTTCCTAATATCTCGCTAGATAAACTTTTCTGTAACTTAGGGAGTTATTCTAGCCAAACGTTAATACACAGACCATTGTTCTATTTGTCCTTACTTTTCTACTTTTTACATTATTTTTCTGCTGACCTATCTCATGGCTACTGCTTGGCTCTAATCCCAGTTCTGCTGTCTCTGAGGCTGCCTTTTGCAGCTTTCTGAAACCACTCTGATTTTATGGATTCCCACAGGCCCCACTCAGATGCTCGCACTGGCATTGGTGTCTTGGTCTCACTAGATCAGGTGTGCAGTGAAAATGTCCTGTCCCCACACTGAGTAATGGGAATTCCACAAGTTATTTTTTCATGTCGAAGCTCCTTATGAAATATGTTGAGATTCAAATGGGATATTCTGACAGCAGATGAGTTAGCTGTTTACAGGATGAACTTCTGTGACTTCAAAACCTTGTAAAAGGGTATTCTCATGCTGACACATAATCAGATATGGTTTTGAAGTGCCCTTGGAAGTAAAGCAAAAAAGACATATCAACTACTGGTCTTCAAAAAAGTAATTTGTCTCCCTGAGTCCTTTGCCATGCAGCAGTGCCCAGACAGGCAGGAGCTGCTGAGTTCCCTGCATTGAAAGCTCCCCTTTGGCCACAGTCTATAAATCAAACTGCAGGACACCAACAGTTTGATCAACCACTGGGAAGTAAGAAGTGAGTTCCAAAGCCATTACCAATACCTTGGGCTTTGAAAATTGTAGGCAGCTGTTTTATTAATGATAAATTCTATTTTCATATCATCTGTAGGGATCTTTTTCCCTTGGATTTTACAATTCATTTTTTACAAATCTACCCATAAGGAACTAATTTTTTAATTTGTGCAGGGTTTTAATAGATGTTCAGATGATGACTTTAAGCTGCCATTGGATGTGTGGAGCCGTGGCGAAATCACTGCTTCAGGTACAACTGGAATGTTTGCCATGCACCTTCTTTAGATTTTTATATATTGTCAAATTTTAATTTTCATGAGTAGTCTCACAGTTCCATATCTGTAACTGTTAAATACAGTTTCACTGTTACTTGTTTTAGAAATACATTGATCAAAATCTCTTCATGTTTCAGATACAATTTCACAGCAAGTGAAACTTTGCTCTGAAGTAGATGAAGAGGTGAGTTAAGTATCAACTCTGCCCATCTAATTCCTTGGGGTCTTTTGAATTTGTTCCCAAACAGTGCCTAAAGCATTATTCAGTAGATATTTCAGGCCTAAAGGGAGTAGTCAAAAGGGAATAATGTTTTCTGTCTCCTGTTTAAAGCTGAATAACTTAGAGGAGATATTTGTGATTTAGTGAACATGCCTGGAAACAAATCTTTAAAAATTAGGGTGATTGCAATATTGTTGTTGTTTTTTTCTTTGTTTGAAGTGCCTGCGAAGTCTATGAGCTTTATTTAGAGTAAGATTTAAACACTTAAGTATCCTTGTGGAACTGGTTCTGAATATTCTGTTGAGGGCCAGAAGGGTTGAAGTCAGAGTATTCTTTGGAAAACTGAAGTAGATGATCCCAATTGCCTTGTCTGGCTTTATTTTATCTGTAAAACAATGAATTTAGTGGTTTCCTCAAGCACTGGATTCTTCTCACAGTGTCTTTACCAGCAGATCTCTGCTTTAGCACAATTCACTACAACTCATTTTTTTTGCAATAGCTTCTGTACTTTGCAGCTACAAAACACTGTTTGCTACCACAAAATAAAACACATTTCTTGTGCTCTCTCTGCTGATTTTCATATCCCTGACAACTTTTTAGACTCTTTTAATCCTAAGCTATTAAAGTACCATCAGGACTGTAACAAAAGTGTGATGCAGCCAAAACAAGGATGGTGTTTGGGGCTGTTGTAAGTGAACCAAAGGGCCCTTAGGGCTCGTGTGTTGCTCTCCCTGCCTCGACCACTGGCCCAGCACTGCTTGTAGGACACTTTCAAGGTGTTCTAAGGGCACAAGGGTGGTGGTTTTCCTTCCTGCTCTGTGTGTGAGCAGAGAACTGCTGGGACACTTGGATATTTATAAATCCCTGGGTCCAGATGGGGTCCATGCCAGGGTGATGAGGGAGCTGGCAGATGAGCTTGCCAAGCCTCTCTCCATCCTTTATCAGGAGTTGTGGCTCCGTGGTGAGGTTCCAGATGATTGGACACTGGCCAGTGTGACACCCATGTACAAAAAAGGTAGGAAGGAGGATCCTGGTAATTCCAGGCCAGTCAGCCTGGCCTCAGTAGCAGGTGAGATAATGGAGCAGTTCATACTGAGTGCTATCACACAGCACTCACAGCATGGCCAGGCTATCAGACCCAGCCAGCAGGGCTTTACCAAGGGTGGGTCATGTCTGACGAACCCGGGCTCCTTCTGTGAGCAGGTGACTGCCTGGTACATGCAGGAAAGGCTGTGGGTGTTGTGTATCTGGGCTCCAGCAAGGCCTTTGGCACTGTCTCCCACAGCACACTCCTGGAGAAGCTGCAGCCATGGCTGGGACAGGAGCACTCTGTGCTGGGCTCAGAACTGGCTGCATGGCCGGGCCAGAGAGTGATGGTGAATGGTGCTGCATCCAGCTGGCAGCCAGGCACTAGGGGTGTCCCTCAGGGCTCTGTATGCTGGGACCAGTTCTGTTTAATATTTTTGTAGACCACATGGATGAGGGCATCAAGTCCTTGATCAGTAAATTTGCAGAGGACACTAAGCTGGGAGCTTGTGTTGATCTATTGGAAGGAAGGAGAGCTCTGCAGAGAGACTTAGATCGGTTGGATGGATGGGCAGAGTCCAGCAGCATGAAGTTCAATAAGTCCAAGTGCTGAGTTCCACATTTTGGCCACAAAAATCCCCTACAACGTTCCAACCTGGGGACAGTGTGGCTGGACAGTGCTCAGGCAGAAAGGGCCCTGGGGGTGCTGGTGAATATGAGCCAGCAGTGTGCCCTGGTGGCCAAGAAGGCCAATGGCATCCTGGCCCGGATCAGGAATGGTGTGGCAGCAGGAGCAGTGAGGTCATTCTGCCCCTGTACTCGGCACTGCTGAGGCTGCACCTTGAGTGCTGTGTCCAGTTCTGGGCCCTCAGTTTAGGAAGGACATTGAGATGCTGGAGCACATCCAGTGGAGGGCAACAAGGCTGGTGAGGGGTTTGGAACACAAGCCCTGTGAGGAATGTTGGAAGGAACTGGGTATGTTCAGCCTGGAGAAGAGGAGGCTTAGGGGTGACCTTATTGCTCTCTACAGCTTCTTGCAGGGAGGTTGGAGCCAGGTGGGGTCGGTCTCTTCCACAGGGCAGCACTGACAGAACCAGAGGACACAGTCTCAAGCTACATCAGGGAAGGGATAGGTTGGATATTAGGAAAAAGATTTTCACCAAAAGAATAATAAAGCGCCGGAATCCTCTTCCCAGGGAGGTGGTAGAATCACCATCTCTGGATGTGTTTAAAAAAAGCCTGGACATGGCACTTGGTGCTGTAGTTGAAGTGTCAGGGCATAGGTTGGACTCGATGATCTGAGAGGTCTCTTCACACCTTATTATTCTGTGATTCTGTGATTCTGTGTGTGTCCATGGCAATATCACAGGTACTCTTGGGCAAAGTCTCTGAAGCTGCTTTTACTTAACTCAGCAGTGTCTGCCAGAAGGAGAGGACAGAAATGGTGGGAAGAACCTACTAGAAGGAATTCTGGCTTCACTGATAATTCTGGCAAAACTTTTATTGATTTTGGTGGACTGAAGTTATCCATGTCTTTAGGCCCATCTATTTGGTGATGTCTGAAGGGGGTTTGGGATATTTCATTGTATTTGTTTCTCCTGTGTGCTCTGTAATGCCTTTTGATACATACATAGAGGATGCACAAAGATTTAAACTTGGACTCCTGATCATATCTAAGCTTATATCACCATCTGTGGAAAAATATTACTCTTGTGATGTTTCTAGGAGAGAAATATGTTATCTACAACAATATTAATTAGATATTATATACTATAAATTGGATAGTATTTGAGATTAAATTGTGGAACCTGTTTTAATAGAATCCAGAAACAACGAATGAATTGTTCTCAAAACTCTACAAAGAGGCTGAGAAGATCAAGCAGTGGAAACTGACTGTGGAAACTGAACTAAACCAGAAAGAAAGAAAACTCCAAGAGAATAGAAAGATTATTGAAGCACAGAGTAAAGCCATTCAAGAACTGCAGGCCAGTATTGTATAATGTACATTGAATAGATGAAGTTCAGTGTTTCCTGATTCAGTATGACACTATTATTGATACAATTAAATATTAAAGACTGTTGCAGCTTGATTTGTGCCTTGAGAAAGTGATTATTTTGAGAAGTTGCAGGCACCTGTCCTGTGTGAGTGTGTGTATGAAGAATAAACCTGTAAGTGTCTCATTTGCTGGTAAATTATTGTTCATTAATTACTGTATCTTTCATGAAAAAGATGACTCAGCATGTAATACCAGATAAAACAGACTTCTGTCTACTGATGCCCTAAATGACTTTTTCATGAGGGATTTGAGAAATCAAAGTGCATTTCTAATACATTTTTCAATAACAGTGTCTTTTTGCATTTGTTCCCCATGAAATCAGTTTGAAAATGGAAAACTCCATTTGAAACTGGAAGATGAGATATGTGAAAATAAAGATCTCTTGAGAGAGTAAGTAATAGAACCAAGGATATATTTTTGTGGTGGAAATAATCCGTTTTCACATGGGCAGTTTTATGTAGCTGTTAAATATTGAAGGTCATTTCCATTGTTACTCCTTAGGTGTACAAAGTACTGTGCACTCCTGTGCAAACATGATATTTTTCCCTCCTTTAGAGCTGCTGCTTCGAGGCATCTGTGTAATCTGCTCAAGGAAACCTACACTCGTTTCACAGAGAAGACCAGCAAATGTAAATGCTTTTTTAGTTTTTCTTTATCAGAGTAAATGTGCTTCTAGCTTGCTCTGAATTCACAAACAGAAGCAAGAAGAAGAAATTTCTCGTGCTGTTCAGAGAAGTTCTCCAGTTGAGATCGACTGGATGTGGCTCTCAGAATGAGAAGTGAATTTTAAGTGGCTCACAAAATTGGAAGTGAAGCCCCAGGTCTAACAGACTTTTGGTTTGTAATGCTAAATGCAGAAGGCTTTTGAAGGCAGTGAAATTGTTTGCTGCAAGGTTGCCAGCCTGGGAGCTCTTTGGTGCCCAAACAGTGCTCCAGGTTTGAGGCAGTGCCCACAGCCCCGACTGGCACTGGCAGCCACTGCAGAGCAGGGCAAGGCTCCCCAAGGCTGCTCAGCCCATTGAAGCTTTGCAGTCCCAGCCACACACTGGGAATATATTCAGACATAAGAAGTGACACTTCATGCCTGTTTTTAGGCAGTAGAATCTACTCTAAATTCCCAGCACTCTGGAACAGATTTCCAGAGCTGACATTTCCTGTTTTCAGCCATCACACATTTGTGGGGAAAAAAGGTCTGAACCCCAAGGTATAATGAGTAACTGGAATTCTTCTCATGAAACTGAACAAGCCAAGACAGTTGGATAACCTAATGAAGTTTAAATTCTTGAGGTTTTAAAACATGTTCTTGATTGGGAATTTTACTTTATATGCAATTTAGAATTTTACTAACTTGATCGTGGAGACTTAAGAAGTGTCTGTTTCTTTTTTGTCTTAATTCTAGAAACACTAGAATAGTTGGAATACACTTAATTCTAGAAACACAGTGCATAGATGTACTGTTCTTTTTTGATACCTGTTTCTGTTACTGTTCTCTTTTTAATTGTTTTCTATCAATTACAAAGGGGAAAGAAAAGAAGGAAAATATGGACATGGAGTGTTGCAATTTTATGACAGATCTGTGGTTATAGGTATCTGCTGATAGGAAGAAATTCAGTGCTAAACCCTAGATTACAATTTATAAATACTAACAGTTTTGATACATTATTATTCAACAGCATTAATACTATAATAGTTAATATGGTCACATAAGCTGATCCAAAATTACACTTTTCACAGAAAAAAATATCTTGGGAAGGAAATTTAAAAGCTGAGCTTGCTCAGTGTTTCAATGAAATACATATTTTCCCTAGATTCTAAATTTTTTTGGATTGTAACTTTTGGCACCATGTTTCATAATGACTTATTTAATAACAATGGAGCTGATAATTCCTTTTTTAATTCATTATGCTGATTAAGTATTATGACTTGGGCAGCTGGCATTCTTGTTCAAAAGAAAAACTTTCTCATATGTTCTTGCTTTGATAGATGAACAGGAAAAGGAAGCAACAATACAATTGTATGAGGAACTTCACAGCAACGTAGAAGTAAGTGACCAAGCTTGATGAAAGGAATGTGAGTTCTGTGAGCTGAGCTGAGTTCCATGTTTATGTTGGGATACTGTTTGTGTCCATCATGTGTGGGTATCATGTCATGTGTGATGCAGGAAGTTGTGTTTTCAATCCCTTTTCAAGAATTATTTTTGTGTTATATCAAACACGTTCAATGGAGAAGGTGCAGCAGTGTGTGGGATGTAGATCCCTGTGATCTGGGTGATGTGTGCTTAGTGCTGGGTCACTGCCACAACTTCTGGCTTCTTTTTGGGCTCTGTTTCACCTCCCTGCTGGTTCCTCAGAATGGTTGAGGTGGGCAGCAGCCCCTGGAGAAGTTCCAGGGTTTCCAATATTGAACTTCAAGTATTAAATTTTGTTTTTAGAGAATGACAGTGGCATTTGAAGAGCTTCGTGTGCAAGCAGAGAACGACAGACTGGAAATGAGTTTCAAATGTGAGAATTCTGTTTATTGAGTTTATGCAGCTGGCTCAGTTTTGTACTTCATAGCTTGTGTTACACATGCAGTGTCAGGGCAGGCAGATGTGAAGTGCTGGAATGGTGAGCAGCTCACACTGAGACACTGGGACCCTTCTTTTATTCCTGCTGCCTTTGGTCACTGCCTGGCCCCTTCTGTTGCTGTTCCACTGGGCCAAATCTGAAACTTTATTTTTCAAACAGTCACTCAAAATTGAAGTTTTGTCTGTGAGGTACAGTCTAGAGATCAATATTTATTTCACATAGTTTGTTTATTTAAATGAGAATCCACTAGTGTATAGCTACAGAAACTTTAGCTAAATGCTCTCTCTCTGTATGTATAGCCTGCTATGTTCCTGTTTCATTTTCACATGGTCTTTTCTGTTTGTATTTTGATTATAAAATCAAACATTGCCTCAAGAATTACTCTTGGGAAACAAATGCTAGAACTGTAGAATTCCAAGCAATCTTAAAGTGGAAGTTGTATTGAACTTGGAGTATATCTCAGCTAGAATGTTAACTATGGATGTTACTGTATCTCCAAAGTAAAAGAAGAAGCAGAAAAAGTGGACAAGTTTGAGAAAGAATGCAGACTGGAAGTCAGCCAAAAGGAAAAGCAGGTTTGCTCATTTTACCATCTAAGATGTAGAGCTTTATTTGTGCCTAAAGGGGCAATGCAAGAGCCAAGAAGTGTTTCTGGGTATTAGTAAAAAAGACAAAATAATGTCTGAAGCTGCATTTAAGTCAAATCTGCTAAGTTTAATGATGTTTCAGTACCTTTAGTCTACTGGAATTGATGGTTTGATTTTGAATTGGAGAACTTTTTTGTTTAGAGTAATGTGACTTGATCAATATTTGGCTAAGATTGTATCTAGCCAAATATTATCTATCTATCTATCTATCTATCTATCTATCTATCTATCTATCTAATCTAACTTGAATGACAGCAAAATGTCTGCTTATCATAGCTGGGGTACAAATGAAAATTATTATCTGTCCCTTTTCCAGACTTCATGATGATATTTCTTGCATTTTTCTAGATTTCAGCTCTTACCATACAGAGAGATGAAAAAGATGATGTCATAAAAGACATCAAGGCTCAGCTGCAGATGTCACAAAATAAGATTGCTGACTTAATGGAAGCAAAATGTAAGAGTTCTGCCTGCTGTGTTTAAATGTAATTGTTTACAGAATTTCAATGTAGTTGTTTATGATTGTTTATTTATTATATGTAATTGTTTATTAGAAGCATAGGAAACAGGGCCATGATAGTCTTATTCTGTTGCTGGTTGGCAGCAGAATTTTGGGGCCTTGAAGGCCTTATTTTTGTTTGGAACAGGAGCTGCTCATGTGGGAGCAGGACTGGCAGGGCAGTTTTTAGGGTGAGTCAAGCAGTGAGAGCTTTTGAAAATTGCAAGGGGAAAATATGTTGCTTCAGTTTTGCAAATTTAAAGTCAGGCAGATGTCACTGAGGAAACTTACTTTTCAGAACTTACTTTTCAATATTTTAAGCCATCTATACTCAAATTTTATCTATCATTTTATAGTAGATGATGTCAGTACCATTGGTCTTTGTTACATTCTTTAAATGTATGTAATTTTCCATTTTTAGCAGCATTTTTTAGTAAATATCCTATTTTTAACAATATAAACTTTTTTTTTTGTTTAGTACATAATGAAGAAATGTTAAAGGAATCCCAGGGCAGTAAAGAACATTTGAGGGCAGAGCTGGAAGAGGCTAAAATTTCATTGCAAAAGGCAGAGGTACCCCTTACTTATAGCTCTATAATAGAAATAGACTAGATGAGCATTTGCATAAATAATTATGGATACTTTAGACACGAAACAGCTGTAGCTGTTTGTTGGAAAACATATTTAGAAATGATACCATGTCTTGAAGGTTACTCAAAAGAACTTGGAAACTGAATTCCAGACTACAGTGAAAACATTAATTCAGGTTACTGGAGAAAAGGAAGAGCAGGAGGAAGAATGTAAAAAAATGAAGGCTTTGCTTGCAGCACTGACAGAGGAGTTTGAGACTTCTGTTGCCAATTTGAAAAGCTTGCTGCAAGAAGAGCAAAATAGGTAAATTAATGAGTTGAAATTCCAAGAGTGATCTTACAGGTTGCAGTCTATGACAAAACCAAGAACAATTGGAAATGAAGCTGAAATTTGGAGGGTTTTTTCACACAGTGGTCTAAATGCAGAGAATTTAATGTAATTTTTTTTGTTTGTGATAGTTGATACTGTATAAAAAGTAAATTTTTGCCCCCTTCAACTTGCATAATTCTGTCTTTAAAAAATACAGATTTCTGTAGATATATATTTGTTTACTTTTATGTCTACTGTTCTGAGGTTGTAAAACTGTAATTTGATGTGTGTTGCAGGCAGATAAATTATCTGCCTGTTAAAAGTTAAATGTTCTTAAAGTGCTTGTGGTAAGACGTTGTCTTATTGTCCTGTAAGTTTCAAATCCAGTGCTTTGTACTCTACATTTGGGATTTTTCATTTACCATTTCCTTAGATTAAAGAAATCTGAAGATGATTCAAAGCTGCTTACCTTGGAGCTCCAGAATAAATCTGCTGAACTGGGTAAGGCTTGTAGAAAGGCAGAAAATGAGCTGGGCAGTAATAAAAATGTTTTCTGCTTTTTTCTGGAAATGGACTGTCTCTAGTAGTTGAAGAAATGATTTTACAGTACCTGTACCTGTCAGGAATGCCTGGATTTATTTTTACTCAGCTGATCCCTTTTCTTTGGGGGTCATTGGTGCTGGCAGCAGCCAAAGGGCAGTGCTGTGCACAGCTCCAATAGTCAGACCATTCATGCATGAATTCCTCTGGAGGTAATTTTGGTTTGCAGCTCAGAGCAGCAGCACTGCAGGTGCCAGGAGTGACTTGTGCAGCAGAGATAAAACCTCCCATGGAGGTTTCTGTGACCCTCCCCATGCTGGAAGTGCAATGATGCTGGCAGGGGTTGTTTTTAAATATCATCAATTTGATATCCTGTGGTTTCTAGGGATGTGCTCCTTAGTCCCCAGAGTAAGAGCTCTGCCTTGCTGTTGAGAACTTGTAAAAAATACCAGAATTGTGACTGTGCACACAGAAACCATCTGGAAGTTAGTAACAACTGGTTTCCTTTCTCAGCATATCCATCTGATACCTTCAGCAGTTCAGATTTTTTCTGGAACAATGCAGGTGCAGCAATACTTGGAGAATACTCCAGTCTTACAGTCCATGGTTTATTTGAAGCTATAATTGTGGAAAACATCATAGGCTCTAAATTTTATTTAAGATAAATATTTAGCTTCTCTTCAGATATAGATTTGCTAATGTCTGAATCATCTTTTCAAGTCTACATTTAGATTAAGTCATAAATTAGCTTTTCATTTCCTTAAATTAATCCAACAAGTTTTGAGAACTGGGTATTGCAAAAGGGTAAATGTTTTATACTGCCTGCTAATAATGAAAAATTATTCCTGTTCCATTCATTTTACATTCCATGTGCTGTAGAAGAGATGACTAAAGTAAAATGTGATAAAGAAGTGCAACTTGAAGAGCTGTCAGAAACTCTGGTAAATGTTCATTTTATTAATCTCATGGCATTTGCTCTTCATATGAAATTCCTCTTGCTTTGTAAGTATCTTAAATGCCATAAATAAACACCATCTAGTCTACCTTAACATTTCTACTAAACTTTCTCACACACAATTTCAGTGTTTTCTTTGAAGAACTTCTTTATTGCCTCTGTTTTTCTTGTCTCCCATGCTTTTGGTTTTTCTTGTCTCTTGTGCTTTTGGTTTTCCTTCTCAAGGTTTTTGGTTATTTCTTCTTTGTTCATGCCCATTCAAATGCCACTCCCTCTGGATATAAAGTTTTCCCATTTTTTCTTCCTTCCAGGAAGGTAATTAGCTCTGGCCTCTGTGAACCCTGCTGTGCTGTGACACAGGCCCATTTTCTGTCACAGAAGTCAAAGCTATATGAAATACACTCTTAACAGAAGTTTATTTTCATTATGATTTTATATTTACAAGCCTAACAAGAATCCATATCAACTCAAGTTAAGATAGTGTGAAATCAGGTGTGCATTTTACTGTGTCTGCTTGTTGTTATAATCTGTGCATTGAGGGTTCTGAACTGAGTTTCACTCATTTTCTAAAATGGGCAAATTGGAGGACTTTGATTGAAGAAGAATCTTGAGGCTACTGTAGAAAATATGCAGAGAGAGAAAAATGTGGAGAGAGAAATGAAAATGCTCTCCAAATGAGAGAGGTCTGAAGCAGGGCAACAGTAACATGTTTTTAGAAATACTGAAGTTGCACATATTGAACTTGTATACAAGTTTATACATAAGAAACAGCACCCAGAGCAGGGTCCCACCCGAATTTTGCAGCCCAGGTAATGAAACTCACAGCAGGGGACAGACATGAACAGCACTGGTGTCACAGTTCACTTTGTCACACCACTTCCAGATCCCAGCAGAGATTGGAAAGATGCAATCTGGATAATCCATGGCATGGATGTTGTTGGGTTCTTCTGAAAGCCTTGTGCTCTTAGTTCATGTCTGATAACCTCCAGCAGTTGGAGTTTGCACATGGGAACTCAAAACTCTTCATTTTGCAGAAAGAATTCCATGGTTTGAAAGCACAGCTGACATGTACAGCTGAGAAGGAACAAGATTACTTAAAGCAGCTTGTGACTCTGAAAACAGATCTTGAACAAGAGGCGTATGACCATTTTGAAAATAGAATGTTTCATTAGTTTTGGTGTAATATAGAAGTTGCTTTAATCCACAGTGAAATGAACTGTGATTGTTTTCTAATGGAAGTTTTGAACCACATATATGACATTATTTATATACTTACATTTCTAAATTCCACTTTCTCTATTTATATGTATTCTATGGCATATGTAGTTGTTCCATATCTCTCTGACTTATTTAACAAGAAGAGAAAGTTTCTGAATTCATTGTTAATCTTGCTTTAAAATACATAATCTTCACTAACCATTATATTTATATAAAAGTTGACTCTGATTTTCTTTCCTTCTTCTGTCACCTTTTTACATCTCTCTGACTCTGCTGCAAAGCTTATATTTGTAGATAATTCCTGGACTTCTTTCAGCATGGAATAACACTTGATAATGGGTATGTTTAATTTAAAATGAGATTTCAAAATGCATCCTCTTATTCCTCTTGGCCATTTGTTTTAAATTAGGTTAAAGAATGAACAGCTAACAGTGTATCTCAGTAAGCTTTCACTAGAGAAAGAACAAACAGCACAAGAGAAAAATGCTGTGGCTGCAGAACTCAAGAAACTGCAAGAACAACAAGAGGCAAGTTGTAAACTTCCAGCTTTCTTGAAAGGACAATACTCAGTTTGACAAATGACTCAGTTTTGCAAATTAGATGATGAGCTGCAACATGACTTGGGTCTGTAGAGTACCTGAGCTATTTTTTGTGTTTGAATTGGAAAGGAAGTGTATTTACACTTGTGAACAAGGCAGGTCTGTGTGCTTTGGATGGCTTTGAATTTTTTAGGAAGTCACTTTGAATTTTATTTCTTTGCTGACACATGGGTCTTTATTTAGGATAGTAAGAAAAAAGAAGACAATACAAAGCAGTTAGTTGAAAATCTAGAAGAGGCAAATAGCCAGCTAAGGCAAGTAAAAGCAAATATTATTAACTGATATTGTTAAAGGAAGTAGACTCAAATAGTTAGTTGTGTTCAAATGCTGCTTTCTGGGATTTTTTGTTTAATGTTTTTCTAGATTATCTAGGTAAACAGAAACTATTCAGAATTGCTGTTGGCCAAGTAGAAATTTTCTCAGATTAGAAATACCAATTGCTGCAGGAACAATGTTTGCCATCATTTTGTATTCCATAGTAAGAGCTGTCTTGTTTTGCATTAGACATCTCAGGTGTGAAGGAAATTCAAATGGAAGTTGAAGGTTATGGATGAAATGTGACAAGGCAAAACTGGATCAGAGTTACTCTCTGTATCCCCAGTTCAATAGGCAGCTCCCATGTTTCACAGCTGCATTGCAATAGTCCAGGTCAGGATGTATTTTCCTGGGGTTCCTGGAACATCTTCTCCTACTTAAAAGAAGCATGGACAGTTCACATATTGACTTACTGGGCCTGTTGCTGCATTTTAAGAACATTTTCATTGAGCAGCTTATGAAGTTCCCATCAACATTAGCAGCTCTTTTTAGAAAATAAAATATGGGTTTATTAGAAGTACTGAAAACAAGTTAAAGGCAATATGTAAATATTTACTAATGTTTGTTAATTTGGTACTTAGAAATGAACTGGAGTCTTTGAAGGAGAAAATGGCAAAGACAGGTGAAGAGATGAAAAGCACACTGGATGAAAGAGAAGAAAATGTATGTCCTGTGTCATGAAAATATCTTACAGAACCTGCAGGGCAGCATTCAATGTAAAATCTTTGTTGGGATTTTTTCTGCAGAGCTCTGCCTGGGGGATGTGATCTCTGCCAGAGGTTTCTTCTTTCCCAGCTGCTGCCAGCTGTGCCCTTGTGTGTCCACATGTGAGCCCTGGTATTTCAAAAGACAAGCACAGTCACTGGGATGTTCACTCTTTGCTGGAAGTTTAATATTAAAGATTTATTTGTTTTCAGGCAAACAGAGAACCTGCTTTTCTGGTTTTTATATACCCACTCAGTGATGGATGGGCTCTGGATTAGATTTTTATATGTACTGTGAGTTTTAGCTTAAATAGATTCAAACATTTTTACTTTCTTTCTATTGGTTCAAAGCAACCTGGGGTTTTTAACATTAGAATGGATTTCAGAATTTCATTGTAAAAGCCTAATATTTACAATTTTAATTTCAGGTTAAGAGAACTGAAAATGAAATTTCAAGAAAGGAAAAGCCATTGAAGATTGTAGAAAATAATTGGGAAAATTCATTTTTTCATGGATGTAGGGAACTTCATACAAGTGCATTTTTTAAATTGTGAAAATGCTGGGGGTTTTTTTCTTCTTCTTTCTTAACTCCATAGCCACTAAGGAACTGGTTCACTGCTGTTAATTAACATCTTGTGGTACTTTATGGCTAAAACTCTGATTATTCTGACATGGCAGCTGGTGTTTCAGTCCCATTGGAACAAACCAGACTGGTGCAAGGGCAGATTTGAGAACATTTACAGGAATTGCTCACATAGGGAGTCATTTGTTGAACTTACTAATTCATGTCTGAAATATCTCTTTCAGATGAATAATCTGAAGAAACAGGTGGAAAATAAAACCAAATGCATGGAAGAGTTGCAACAGGAGGTGTGTAGAGATTTTAAATGTCACAAATACATAAACACATTATACTTTGGGTTGCCTTTTCAGCAGGTTTGTGTCTGCTGTGATGTCTTTAGATACACCTATGTAATTTAAAAATTCTCCTTTTTTATCCTAACCCTGAGCAAACTAGGGAGTCAGCTTTGGAATCACTTGATTTGTTAAATGAGCCTTAATTTGAAAAAAAGCAATTACAAAAATAATATCTTTAATAAACTTCTACTCTTTTTCATTTAATGCATAGTGTTTTTTATGTACTTGTATGAGTATCTCAGTTATCACTAGTAGAAAAGAATTCTGCACTAGCACAAATTGTATAAACTTCACTGTAAAAATAAATAACTTGTATTTTTGGTCATGACATCTTCACACCTTCTGTCAGCAGCATCTTAGTTTTAATTCCCATTCTGCTCCTCATTTGTTATTCCCTGCTGCTGCTCAGGAGGAGCCTTTCCTAAGGTCATGAAGAAACAGTAATTATCACAGAAATTAGCTGAACATTCATTTGTTTGAAGAATTGTTCTGGAACCTGAGTTGCACAACAGAGAGTTATTTGCCTGATGAAAGCTGGAATTTCTTGATGCAGTTAAACCATGACATAATTCTATGAACTTATTAAGATACAGTGCTTGTTTTGTTTTATTTCAACAGAATAAGGTGCTGAAAAAGAAAATTACTGCAGAAAGCAAGAAAAGCAACACTTATGAAGGGAAGGTAGGTTTAAATAACATCATGTAGAAGATGAGGTGAGTGTTTTAAGTCCCAGTGTAAGTAATTATAATACTTGTTAAATACATTCTGAGCTGGTTTATGGATCTGGGATACAGACTTTGCAGGAATGAGCTCATAGTTTTTAGAAGATGCTTCCATTTTAATCATTGGGCACTGACTATTGGACATTTAAGAGATGGATTCAAATTGCAATTAATGATGTTTCTTATCTGTTCCTTACTTTTTTTTTCTTTTGTTGATAGTGGTATACACATATATATATATATATTACTCTTTTTAGTCTGTTCCTTAAATGTGTTCTGCAGTGGCAATCCCTCTGATGGGAATATTGTGTCCAGCTTTGGGTACTGCACTTGAAGAAAAGTGGAGTTTTTTGAGGATATTCATATGATAAACTTAAAAGGAAAAACTGTAATCAAAATGCACAGCTGGGAGGAAAATGTACCATAAAACCTGTGAAAATCTGATACAGATTTACAAGAGAGAAGAAACAAACATCTGTGTTTATTTTTTCCTGAGGCATTCAAAGCATTTAGGGTGACTGCTTAGGGCAGTCTTCCCCATTGTGCTGTTGCCATTGTTCCTTTGAGTATTTTCTAACTCACTTCAAGCCAAAGTTCAACTCTTTATTAAAAAAAAAAAACCTGAACTTTTAAATAGGAAACACTTGAATCATACCTGAAAAGTAACAGTGTTTGTGCTCAAAAATAAGAGGTAAGAAAAAATCATCAACATAGTAATTACTAAACAAATAACAGCAGCAATTCTGCATTCTCCAAAGGTGAATAAATTGCAGTTAGAGATGGAAAATATGAACAAGCAACATAAGGAAGAAGTTGACATCTATAAAAAAGACATAGAAACAAGAAAAGTAAATGAAAATAAACTTCGTGAAGAGGTGAGAGGTGTTAATTTTTACTGCAATTTATTTTTTTTAATTTAAAATGTTTTTATGAAGATTTATTGGCCAGAGTCCTTGCTCATATTTCAGTCTTATTAACATAAATGGAACTTGTTGTGAATCCCTGTGAACAAAGCTTTAGTACATTAGGTGCTTAGGTTGAAGTATTTGAATATGTCTTTGAAAATGAGAACTCAATTAAAAATTCTTTCTTTCAAGATATAGTTCAAAGAAATTCCACCCTTGGTATAAAGTCAGCCCAGTTAAATTAGATTATAACTTCTCCCACATTAGTATTTTTCTGCCCACACATTTTTTGATGGCAATGCTAAGAAATGTTAGGGCGGAGTGCTTGAAATGGCCTTTTGGTTTGCAGTGAGCTTGCCTGCCATGGCTGTACCTTTGATCTTGCCCATGTAAACAATCTGCAGAAAAGATGAGGCATTTGAAAGGGATCTTAAAAGCAAATAAAGGCCAAGTGGGACTGCAAACTTTGTACCCACAGGGGGAAGAAGAAATTAAGATTTTTTAAAAAATATATTGTTATGTTGATGAATGAAATGCAATTTATTACTGACAGGTAGAAAAGATGAGGTTGCTTTGTGATGAAACTGCAATGATACAGAGAGAAACTGATGCCAGATGTCAGCACAAGATAACTGAGATGATGGCACTGATGGAAAAGCACAAGGTCAGAGATTTTCCTGCTTGCTGTGGTTTGCAATGGGTGATACCATGTCAATACCATGTTTATAACTTGTGACACCACGTTAATGACCTTTCAAAAGCAGAAACAGGCCTGAGTCTCAGAAAAGGAAGCTGAACACATGCTGGACTTTGCATCATCTAAAATCAAATTCATTTGAAGATTTTGAAAAGATTCCTATGGGCAGATAATTCCAGTCATCTAAACTTCTGGGATTTCTAGATTTTTTTTCAATTCAGGCTTCCTTTGATACCATCTGAATGCAATATTTTTCAGTATCAGTTTGGCCTCTTTCTCAGAGGTTACCTAGTGACTGTCAGCAGTTTAGCCTGACACATTTTAGTTTACCTTTCTATTCCTCATTTTGCAATATCTTTAGCAGATACAGTAATAAAGATGGCACAGCTGGCTCTTAGTGCTGAGCACATATTGCTGCACAGAAATAAAGCACTCTCTGCCAGTCCACAAAATAATACTTGAATTGAGCATTTTCTGTTTTACAGTTTGTGCAGAAGCATCAATGAATCTTTTCTTTCTGAATCCTAAGAGCCTGGTTTGAAAAAATGATGTTTTAAGACTGGATAACTCCATAATTGTAACATTTAGTCACATGTTTTGAGTTTGTTGTTGGTTTGGTTTTTTTACCACAGAATGAATATGATAAATTGGTTGAAGAAAAAGATGCAGAGTTAAAAGTATACAAAATGAAACAGCAAAAGCAGATATCATCAGAAAGGGCACTGGTAAGGAGCACTTTGCAATGGTCAATAATTCAGTGAAGGGGCTGATGTCCTTGTGGAGTGGTTTTATACTGGCTAAGTGCCAGGCGCACACAAAAAAACATTCACTCATTTTTCTCTGCTGTAGTTGAGCAGTGAAGGGGAAAGAAAAATTCAGGGACTGAGTTGAGATAAAGATTAGGAGAAAAACACTTTGAGGGTAAAGCAGATTCGAACTTAAATAGTATCAAAAATTATTATTAATAGAATTAAAAGTGAGTAATGAGAATTAAAATAAACCTTTAAAACACTTTTTTTCCCAATCCCTGCCTCTTGCCCACCCACAGCACAGAGAGACAAAAGATGTGATCTTCAGTCAGTGTGTGACTTCTAAAGATCTTTTTTCAGTTTGCTTCGAGAGTTTCTTTTCCTGCTGTGCTCTGGGGTCTTTCCCACCAGAGACAGTTCTCTGGGAACTTTTCCAGTGTGGTTTGAATTTTTACCAGTAGCAGTCCCACCCAACCTGCTGCACCAGATCTTATTCTGGGCACTAAAAACTCCAGATGTTTCTAAAAAGAAATTGGAGTAGCAGTGTGCTTGTGTCTGCTCCTCCAGCTAGTGGGTCATGTTCTGACTCCCCACTTTGAATAGGAAACTTATGTTTTAAATATTTAGATTGTGCCCTCTCACTCCTGTTCTCCCAAGGGTTTTAAGCTATTACCTTGAACACTTCTGATCAAATACCTGTTTCTAACAGTGCTTCAGTCTTTTTTAAACAAGCTAAAGCAAAGCTTCAAGTATAGGGCTGAAAAGCAAATAGAATTATCTTGTGTACCTAATGAGTGTCCCTGTTAATTAGTCCCTGTCTCACTTGGGACTGTTTTCCTTTTTCTGGGCTGTGCATAGTTAACCCTGTCCTTTATTTAATGGTTTGTAGGAAAATGAGCTGTCGTGTTTGAAAAAGGAACTGTCCTCCCTTAAGGAACAACTGAAAGCAGAAATGGAAGAAAAGGTGGAGTTTTTTATTCACTGAGCAGTGGGGGTGAGAGGTGTGGCCTGGGCTTGTGCTGTGGGAAGAGCTGGATTAGAAATGAAACTGAACAGAAAAATAGTGACTTTGGAATGCTGGGGTTGTGCTAAATCTGGTCATCTATTTGTGTGAACTTTGTAACAGTCTGTGATTATAGATTATATATAAATAAACAACAAAACAAAACTCTCCTTTATTTTTGGTAATTTTAACTGGCTAAAGCAAAAAAGTTCCCTAAACTGCAGGGGTTTTTTCAGTGACTTTTGAATGCTGGGGTTGTACTACATCTGGTCATATTTTTGTGTGAACTTTGTAGCAGTCTGTGATTATAGACTGTGCTCTGTCATTACACCAAGAACATTTTTAACAACTGAAATCAAATAAATATTTCCTTGCTGTCACATAACTCTTTTGTAGGAGAATCTCGTAAAAGAGCACTCTGGCAGTATGATTTCTGAAAGTGAAAAGAAACACAAGGTAACTTGAACTTTTTAATTGCTTTTAGAATTTGGGAGTGTTGATATGTGTAGAATCAATTGAAATGCCATGACAATTTATTTGCATTCAACAAAAGACATTGGAATGCTTTTGACTTCAAACTTTTTAAATTATAGAAAATACAAACTTATGTTCCTGGTACTCCTAAACCTTGTTTAGATCTATACAGTGAATCTATTAATGTAAAAAATAAAAAGTCTCCAAATTATATTCCTAAAATTAAAAAAATAAAAGTAAAAATAAAAAAAATGTGTTCTTCAGAACAGGAAGCCCCTTGGGCAGTCCAACATTGAAGTTTTGTAACTCCTAACAGTGAATTTTTCTTGTTGCATTTTTCTGCCTGTATTTCTTACTTCTCTTTCGATGATTTTTTTTTTCCCATGGGATAAGAAGGGATTTTAAAGGGTCACACCATTCCATGGAGATATTAGACAGCAGTTTCTGGGAGGGCTCCCAGTGTGTAATTTTTCTTGCTCAGTTGTTGATATTTTATGTCTCTAGAATTGTTTTACATAGTCTTAAAAGTGTCCATTTGTAAAGGCACTTTTCCTCTATAGAAGAGAAAAAAGCTGATATAGCTGTAAAAATGGTCAAAGTATCAAAGTAGTCCTGACTGCAGAACTCACCCTTCTTCCTGTAAGGAGTTCACTTGTGGTTTTCACATTGGAACAATGGAATCCAGCACCATTTTGATGTTATCTGTCAAAAAAAAGGTTGCACTGGACCATTCAATGCTTCTCAGTTTAACTTCTAATGAAAAAACTATTTTAAGTAACACCAATCTTGATATAGCTATCAGTCTTTCTCTGGAAGCCTTTTCCTGCAGTTTTGTTTGTTCCCATTTTCTTTGATGTTTGATAGAGTCCAATGGAGTGGCTACAGTTCAGAATAACCTAAATTTCTGCAGATAAGCATGGAGAACTTAAATACAATGTGCCATGAAACTCAGCTCTTCCATAGCTTCCCCTTCATTCTCCTCATTTGGCAACAAAAATAGTATAAAAAATGATATTTATACCCCACCCCACTTTGTTTGGGTCTTTGCTCCATGTTTGGATGGAAAGATCAGAGTTCCACCATTTCTCTCAGGTGAATTCTTGGACACTCAGACTGTAAACTGGGTCCTGAGTTTGGCTTTAGATTCCATACTTACCCCATAAAATATAATCTAAAAAGAAAAACATTTTCTTTCCCAGACATGTGTTATAAAGACTCCTCCAAGGGATAAAATGCAGAGTGGAAGAAGCACAAACCTGCCTGCAGAGCAGAGCAGCAGGAAAAAGCAGAAAGTGCTTGTGCAGCTGGACACTCAGTCAGACAGCTCTGAGCACACTGACCTCCTGGTAAGAGTCAGAGAACAAATCATGTGCTGAGCAGCTCTTTGTGCTCACTGCTGGGGCTGAGAATGGAAATAAAGAGTTTGGGCTTCCACATTCAAGCCAATATTTATGTATATTTTTAATTTATTGGTTCTTTCTGGAACTGTAGTTGTATGTACATAATTAACATTCTTTTTATGGAACTGTTAAGCCTCATAATGACATCTTAACTTTTTTTTTCATAGTTTAATATCCTTAGGGGGAAAGAAAAAGTATTTTTAATATAGTGTGACTAAGTAACTTTCAATTTAACTTTTAACTTTTAATTTAATAGAGCATAGTCTCAGAAGAAGAAATGTTTAAAAATTTGTACAAAGATTATCCACAAGCTTCACAATTACATTCCACAGCACCAAAAAAGGTATGTTAGCCTTTCCTAAGATTAAACCAAGCAGTTAATCAGATTGTTTACAGAAACTAAAGGATGGCTTTATTTTCCTTCCTAGAGCCCAGCTCCATGCAGCGTGAAATCTCCAGGCTCTGCTCTGAAACTCAAAACCATGAGGAGAATGCGCGAGGTGGGCTGGACTGCACTCTCCAAAATGGACAGGAAAAGGAAAATTATAGATGCTGTAAAGCTCTTTGCTTAAAATGCAGAAATATCCAGTGCCCTGGCATTGCTTGCAGGGCTGTTTTTCTCTCAGAGTTAGTGCTTTGTTGCATTTTTCTGTCATACTCAGTGTGTTTAATACTATGTTCATTCCTTTACACAAATAAACTTTAGAGATCCATAACTGCAACCCCTGCAGAGCTTTTTCCACCTTTCCTCCCTTGTGCTTCAAAATGTTGGGAAAAAAATTGGCCAGTTTTAAATTTGGAAATAAATAGAACTACATAGAAAGTTGTTTCAAAGCTGTTTCTAGCATTAGAAATTCTAGTTTTAAATAACTTCTGTTCTTTTACATTTACTCTGTTTCTCTTAACACATAAATACTTAGTGGAGAAAATGTAGCTGTTAAATGAATGTTCTTTTACTGAAGTCCTCTTGCTTTTTCCTGCATTTTAATGGCTGTTCGACCAGTCTTTTAGATTGTTTTATTTTCAGTATGTTAAAATGGTTTTGAAACTTCTACAATTTCAGTAGAATTACTTGTATTTAAAAAGATTTCAGCTTCATAAGGAGTAAAATATGCATGTTACAAGATTGTGAAGACAATGTGAAGATGCCATTAAATTGTTTATCTGAAATATAAAGTGTGGGACTATTTGTTGTTGCTTTACATATTTGAACACAGACAGAAATCACCCACCGGGCCTTCCTAAGGACCAGCACAAGTACAAGGATAGTTTAGAACATCTATTTCTGTATTAATCCTTGATTAATCTTGGTTTCACAACAATGACAAACCCTACTTCAGAGCCTAGACATAACAAGAAAACTACAAGTACATCTTAAAATATCATGAAAAATCAAAAATCCCAAATGCAGCTGAAGTGGGAAGCAAAACATATTTGTTTTATTATTTTTGTGTAGTCTTAGGGATAGGCCAGTAGTTTGGGTTCCTTATGTTGAGCTGTTGAGCAGTGATGTAAATGAGATTTATTATTGTATGTAGCTAACAAATATTGTGCAAAGACCTGGAAGAATATGCTGTGCTTTCTTCATGAGCACCTGAAAGTGAAAAATGAGAAGTTTGTACTGCCCGCTTCTAGACTCAAACAGTAACTAATCAATTAGAGCCTTGGTATTTTTTAGGGACATGAATCCATGGTATATCACATAATTCTCCTGATCCTGTGAGTGTGTCCTGTGAGGTGCTGTGTCAATCACCTGAAAAAGTACAAAAATATTGCCAGCAACACTGCAGAAAGCTTGCAGGAAATGCAAACAGCAGGGAAGGGTGTAAAATCACATCTGCCCCTTTCTGTGCCTGTTTTCCTTAATGGATGAGGGTGCCCTGCTTGAGGCCATGGCAGCAGTGCACGGCTCCATCTCTCCTGTCTCTCTCTCTGGCTTCAGGCCCAGTTCCCTGGAGCACCCATGGGGGAGAATCCAGGGAGTGAAAGAGACAAAGGGCCCAAACTCCTGGGCTCAGACACAGACAGGTCCATGGGGGAAGGAAAAGCTGTGCAAGGAAGTAAAGCCAGGAATTCATTCCCGGCTTCCCACAGGCAGGTGGGTGTTCGTCCGTGCCCAGGTGAGCAGGGCTCCACCCCAGGCAATGGTGACCTGGGGACACAAATGCCATCACTGCCAGCATCCCCCCTTTCTGCTCCTTCCCCCTCTTTCCAGACTGATCCTTCTTCCACACGCTCTGGGAATGCCCTGGGCTTGAGTCAGGGTCCCTGTCCCAGCTGTGTCTCTGCCCCTTTCTGCTGCTCCCCCAGCCCCTCGCTGCCAGGGCAGGATGAGGAACAGGAAAGGCCTTGGCTCTGGGTAGGAACAAAAACCTCCTGGAACCTTCCCTCTGTTTCCAGGCCAAACCCAAGCCCTGCCCCAGAGAAGCCCCTGGGAAGGAAGTTCAGTCTCCCCAGCCCAAAGTAGTGCCCAGAGCCCATCCCAGCCCCAGGCACTGCCTTCCCCAGAGCGTCTCCTCTAGGGCAGGGATGGCCCAGCGAGCACCAGGCCGGTGGCGATTGCAGCTCAGGGGAAAACAGGCGGGAGGGGATCCATGCTGGGAGTTCCAGTGGTGCTTTATGGGCCAGCACACCCAAGGGCTCCAGGCACCAAGAACCAAGAACAAAGCAGGGCCCAGGGTTTTATATGGGACAAGGGAGGTGGAGCTTTGGTGTTGCCATGGTATTTTGTGAAAAATCCCTTTGCCAGGAGTTTTCTCCTGAGAAGCTGAGAAGCCTCAGAGGAAAAGAAAAACAATCATTATCTGCTGCTGTGGAATGCAAGGGGTGCATCTTTGATTGGTCCATGTTGGTTGTTTCTAATTAATGGCCAATCACAGTCAGCTGGCTTGGACTCTCTGAGAGTCACGAGCTTTTGTTATCATTCCTTTCTATTCCTTGCTGGCCTTCTGATGAAATCCTCTCTTCTATTCTTTGAGTATAGTTTCAATATATCATTTTCTTTTAATATATTATAAAATAATAAATCAGCCTTCTGAAACACGGAGTCAAGATTCTCATCTTTTCCCTCATCCTGGGGCCCCTGCAAACATCACCACACTTTGGGTCTGAGGCCAATGGGCAGAGGGAACAAGGGCGGTGCAAAGGCGGGACAAAAGGGCAACAACCAACTGGGATTCAGGGGAGGAGCTGCAGGGAACGGGAACCAATAGGAAAGTGGGAGTGGGGAATGTTGGAGATGAAGGGGAGACGACCATCCTTTAATGCATCGAACTCCAATTTTATTGATCAATCAATCACCTTAAATAACAAAGTTAATGAACTTCATGCATATTCTGTAATCCAATTTCATGATAGGCTAACAGAGAAACTTCTAACCACTCCTCTTGTTTTAGAATACCTACAATTGTTTATTAAAAACAGAACCAGTGTTCCCAAAACTTCTTCATCAGTTCTCAGGGTGCCAGCTTTTCCCAGAGACGGTGTTCTTCTTGTTATGGGAAGACAGCCTGAGAACTTTATTGTTTATAAAGAGAGTCTAATTGTTTATAGAAATCAGAAGGCTGAGAACTGTTAGGAACTGCTTTACTTTTCCCTTCTACTTTTCTCTCAATTATATGTCTCATGGCCTTTTTCTTCAAGCCATTCTTGAAAAACTCTCCAACATTTCCCCCGTTTTCCTTTCTTTGAGAGAAAAGAGGTTAGCTTGCCAGGTTTTCTCTATCATCCTACTAACCATCTTTTGAATGCAACAAGGTAAGATAATGGTGAAGTTTTTCCTCATAGAAACTCTTGTGGAGGAGGCATTACCAGATGTCAAGAGAAGTGCAGACCCCGCTCTGCCAGGGCTCAGCTGCACCAAAGGCCTGAGGATAAACAGGACACTCAGTGTCAGAAATGTGATCCTGTGGAGAAGGATCAGAACCAGTGCTCAGAGGTGGAACTTGCTTAAATAACAAGATCCACCCTGCGCTTGGGCTGGTATTCCATTCCAGGCTCTATCTCCACAGATTAGAAATATTCCTGTGGGTAATTTCTTAGGTGTCATGATACTAGAGCCTTTACACTGGTTATAAAGTTGTTTGGACACTATTTCCGGGCTTAGAGATGAATCCAGAGTAGCTGATGTCTGTTTATGCTGACTCATCCTTTGAAAATTAGAGTAATCAAAGCTGTAACTCCTCCAAGGCTGAGACAAAGCAATGACTGATTAATCTGTCTAGCAAGTGTTATCCATACATTATCTCTAGGTTGACTAAAATGTGCTACCTTTAATTCTTCAGCTACTACTATACTGAGCAATATAACAAAAGTGAACCTCATTTTTCTGTTTTTGTATTGACCTTCCTTTTCATATCAGTTTTCAACCTTACTGTTCCTGACACCTGAAAACCACACCTTTGTAACCTTCTAATGCAGTTATCTAATGCTTAATTGGGATCTCCTCTTATAGGACCTACAACAGAATGTTGTGTTAAAGGCACCAGTTTTCTACACCTTATTGAGGCTATATATGAAGCACTTTGATCTTTAACCTTTTTCAAAATACACTGTACCTCCCATCGATAATAAGCCAAGATTTTCTGCTCATGAGATTCATAAAGGTCTAAAGCTGAGGCAGTGTTTAGCTCTGTATCATTCCATAGTGCCTGCTCCCAATTATGTTCCCAGATATGCCTATAATTACAGGTGTTGCACCATAAATGAAAAAGTAACAACTGATCACAACCCCCACAACACAGTGCAACCCAAGCAGCACAATTTAGGCTGTGATATTCAAAACAGTTCTCTTTTGCCAGTCCTCTTATATGGAAAGATGATAATGATTCAATAATGTCAATCAGTTCCCTCGTCGTCCGGCAACGGCGTGTTATGGCCTTATCAGGCATTGCAGGACAGGTGGTAATTGGACTACGAAAAGAAAGCTGTTAACTGTTTTCATTCATGCAAACCTGGAGAGGAGGTGAACAAGCCTGAAAATGCTCCTTTCTGTCCTTACATGGGTTTCTCAGAAATGTTCAAAGTCAGTTTTCAGTTAGTAATCCTTTAGTCACTTGGCTCAAATGGCATCAACTGGGTGATTCTCAGTCCTTTGTTAATTTGGAGTGGTGGAAAGTAGTATGCATTTAAAGCACTTAAAATATTTAACTTAACAGACTTATTTGCAAATCATGTAAAATCACTTAAATCTACTTCAAACTTAACAGAATCTAACTTAACTTACTTAATAATACTTAACAAAAATTAATTTTCTTCAAATCCCACACAACTCAAACCTATATATAATTTAAACTTAGAAGACCTCGAACCCAACCGAAAACAAGCTCAACAAACTTAACCTTAACATTTAATGGCACTTAATTGATAACTTAACTTAAACTACTTAATAACAGATAAAACTTACTATAGAAATAATATATGGCATTCACTATAACTCACCCACGGGCCCGATTCCAAAACACTCAACTAAAACAACTTTTCTCACGTTTTTTGCTGCAGCATTTATACCAAAAAACACACTCACAACATCTCACTCATACAATCCATCCAACACATCTCAACATTTTTAAATTTTTCAAAACACAGCTTTAGAGTCTAATGTTCCACCGGCCCAGCCATCCGGGCTTCTGATGTTCAAAGTCTCTGGTAATACAGGTGTTTCCAAGACAGCATAACCAATGCCGAGCCAAATCGGCCGAAATTTGACTCCTGCATTCATTTACGCCGATTTCTGCTTTACAGTCTGTGCTGGGGAGAACAAAAGATCTTTACTAACTTAGGTGAAAAACATCCTGACAGCAATAGTCCTTGGTGTCGCTTGTTTAGTTTCACTAATCTTTTAATTGCAATAGGAATCTTTTCTTTTGTTGACAAGAGTCACAGTTATTACGGCTGTTAGATCTTAAACTGTAGCTTTTGCTGGCTACGGGGCGGAGGGAGAAACGCTCCCGCTTGAAAAAGCGCTCCGGTCCCCCGGCGCTCGTGTCGGAGCGGGCAAAAACTCCCCCCTCGCGCTGGGCTCTTTGTTTACTCACTGTTTGCCGGCTGACTGCTGCAGGCACCGCTGCACGCGTGGCTCCCCCCGCCGTGGCGCGGCTCCTTCGCTCCCCCCGCGGCGCTCGGCTCCCGCGGCGCCGGCTTCTTCGGTCGCTCCCCCCGCGGCGCGCTTCGGTCGCTCCCGGCGCGGCTCCCGCGGCGGCGGCTCCTTCCGCGCGGCGGTTCCGCTCTCCCCGCCGCTGCCTCCGCAGCAATTCAGGCGGTCGCTCGCCGCGACTGCTCACCGTGGCGGCGCGCCTGTGCCGGGTTCGGAGTAGCACAGCACCGCAAGCGCCATGAGCTGCGGCTGCTGTTTTGCACTCAGAGAGATAGTAACACAGCGCACCATACATCACTCGCCATGGCTTGCTTAGCTTCTTGGCAGTTTTATCACTCTCTAAAGCAGCCTCTGACAATAAATCACCGAATTCACGCCATGCTGTTAAGTCGTAAACCTTACGGAAAATCCCTTTATCATAGCCGTAAGTCCAAAGTCCTGTTAATTCCTTTTGCCAATTCATTCCCTTAATTTGTCTTTTTTGCAAGAAAGTAATAAAAAGTTCTATGCAGCTTGCCGGTCCATACCTATATAAATGAGCGCGCTCTGCAGCACCTCCGGCGTCGGCCGCACTTACCAGCCAAGACCCGTCTGTTACGGTCGCTTGGGGCCGGCATGCATCGGCGGACTTCGTCCGCTTTGTTTTCGTGCTTATTGCTGTTCCGCAGCTGCTCCTCGGAACCTGGACAAGTCCTCACCTCCCCGTGGTTTTCGTTATCCCCGAGAGCGTTCGATCGTGGTTCGGTATCGCGTCCAGGGGTCAACCATTTGTTGGAGATGAGGGGGAGACGACCATCCTTTAATGCATCGAACTCCAATTTTATTGATCAATCAATCACCTTAAATAACAAAGTTAACGAACTTCATGCATATTCTGTAATCCAATTTCATGATAGGCTAACAGAGAAACTTCTAACCACTCCTCTTGTTTTAGAATACCTACAATTGTTTATTAAAAACAGAACCAGTGTTCCCAAAACTTCTTCATCAGTTCTCAGGGTGCCAGCTTTTCCCAGAGACGGTGTTCTTCTTGTTATGGGAAGACAACCTGAGAACTTTATTGTTTATAAAGAGAGTCTAATTGTTTATAGAAATCAGAAGGCTGAGAACTGTTAGGAACTGCTTTACTTTTCCCTTCTACTTTTCTCTCAATTATATGTCTCATGGCCTTTTTCTTCAAGCCATTCTTGAAAAACTCTCCAACAGGGGAACATTCTAGAACTGGGGAGGAGAACAAGGATGATGTAACTTGGGTCACCAACATGTAACGGACATGACGCCAGCAGGACATGCACCAGGGGACAATGTCACCACACCTATGGGGATGCTGCCACCAGGACGCCTCCAGTGACACCAGCATGGCCCCGCATGGCCCCTGTGGGTGACACTGACCCTTGCCCTGTCCCCAGGGGCGATTGGGGTCCCCTGAGCGCGGTGGCCCTGGGACACCCTGGTGGCTGTCACTCACTCCTGGACCCCTTGTCACCAGCTGAACAAGCTCCCATCCTGCCCTGCTGGGGGGTGACATTCGGTTGGGACACCAAAATGGTGGCAGGGAGGACGTGGTGGCAGGAACTGCATCAGGCAGCGCCATGGCTGAGATAAAGGTGCTGGTGGCACTGTGGTGGCACTGATGCTGTCCCAGTTCATGTCCCCATCCATGTTCATGTCCTCCCATGTCCCCATCCATGGCTGTGTCCCCCCCTGTCCCTGTCCATGGCCATTTCCAACCCAGGTCCCCACCCAAGGCTGTGTCCCCACACATGCCCATCCAAGCCTTAGTTCAATGTCTTGATTTTTACCCCAATTTCAGGGGTTTCAAAGGGATGAACAGAAAAACCTTTGTGTTTGAAGGCCAAAACAAAAGGATTTATGTGTCCCTGCCAGAAGAGCATCCACATGCTTGGGTGGGTGGGAAGAACCTTTTTTGGAGGGGTTTCTACCCCACTGTCTCCAAAATCATGGGTTTTGCCCCAATCTAACCTGATTTGGTTGTGGAAGATGCCTGTGGGGCAGAGAGAATTAAAATGATGGATTTATGTTGGAGAAGACCTCCAAGGCCATCCAGTGTTACTTGATGCCACCAAAAGACGCAAAAAGTGAGATTTTTCTGGGGTCAGAAGTCAACAAATCTGCTCGATGTCACTATAGGACACAAAACAACACGAGCGCACATACCACTGTTGTCAAGGTGAAAAAAGGAAAGTTTATTTTCTGACTCCAACATTTATAGTTTTCCAAAAGTGACAGTGGATCAGAGGGTGAAAGTCCCACCTCTCCAATTACTCTGGACAAACCAACAGTCCATCAAATTTCTCCTCCTCCATCAAAGAATGCAAAACAATAAGTTATTTACAGGAAGTGTGTGAGAAAGTTTGCTACAAGAATGTAAACATCAGAAGGCTTAGAAAATCTTAAAAAATCAGGGCAATAGCTCTCCACAATGGATTTCTGATGCTGGTCTGTGGATGTGTCCAGGTGCTCATGGGGAGCCAGGAGCCAGCCAGGTCTCTTCCTAACACAGATCACTGGCACCAGAGGTCACCAGGGCTCTGCCCACTGGGGTCACTGGGGATCATCCAGTGCTTATCCTCCAATGAGGGATGGAGCTGTGGAGCTGGAGTAGCACACAAAGCTCTTCCTGCCCTGGGGGCACTCCCACAGCTTCTCTCAGTGCTGGCTGTGTTGGTGCTGGGTCAAGGCTGACCTCTTGGAGAAGTTCTTCCCACACTGGGGACACTCGTAGGGCCTCTCCCCGCTGTGGATGTGCTGGTGGGCAGTCAGGTGGGAGCTCGTCCTGAAGCTCTTCCCACACTCCCCACACCTGTAGGGCTGTTCCCCCATGTGGCTCCGCTGGTGGGCAGTCACTTCATAGCTGGTCTTGAAGCTCTTCCCACACTGGGGACACTCGTAGGGCCTCTCTCCAGTGTGGATGAGCCAGTGCCTGATGAGGGTGGAGTTCTCCCTGAAGCCCTTCCCACAGTTAGGGCAGCGGAAGGGCCTCTCCTCTGTGTTGAATGCGCTGGTGCTGGAGGAGATTGGAGGTGGTCTTAAACCTCTTCCTGCATTTATCACACTCGTACGGCCTCTCCCCTTTGTGAATCTTCTGGTGGCGGATCAGGCTGGAGTTGCAGGAAAAGCTCTTCCCACACTCCCCACATTCGTAGGGGAGTGCTGCTCTGGTGGATAATCCGGCTGGACCTCAAACTGAAGCTCTTCCCATACCTGGGACACTCCTAGGGCCTCTCCCTGGAGTGGATGAGCTGGTGCCTGAGGAGGCTGTGCTTGTGCCTGAATCCCTTCCCGCAGTGGGGGCAGTGGAAGGGCCTCTCCTCGGTGTGAGTGCACTGGTGCAGGAGGAGGCTGGAGCTACTCTGAAAGCTCTTGCTGCATTTGTCACACTCATAGGGCTTTTCCCCTGTGTGGCTCCTCTGGTGGAAAATCAGGCTCGATCTGGCTCTGAAGCTCTTCCCACACTCAGGACATCCGTAGGGCCGTTCCCCCGGGTGGACGTGCTGGTGGCGGATCAGGCTGGAGTTGTGGCTGAAGCTCTTCCCACACTGCCCACACTCGTAGGGCCATTCCCCAGTGTGGATTCTATAATGGTAGGTCAGGTGGCATCTCTTGCTGAAGCTCTTCCCACATTCTGAGCACTTGTGGGGCTTCTCCCCATCCTGAAGCTGCTCAGGGACCCCCGGCTCCAAGCTCTGGCCGCCTCCCTGGAACAGGGTGGGTCTTTCCTCCTCAGATCCCCGTGATCCACGTTTGCAGCCTCTCCTTGTGTGAGATCTCCGGAACTTTTCCTCCCCATTGGATTCCTGTCCTGTGAAGCCGCTCAAAACGGCCTCTACCAAGAGGTTCTGCTGTGGGGATTTGTCCTCCCTGCTCTCCATCCTCAGCTCCTTCCCTGGAGGAGGAAGGACAAGGAGAGGATGGGATTTGCCTCTGTGCCAGAGGGAAGGGGAAGGAGATCCCCCCAGTGCATCCCTGGCTGGACAGCATCAGCAGTGGGGTTGTCCTGCAGCCGGGAGCCATGCTGGGCTGGGAGATGGAGCAGGACAGAGGGGGAAATGGGCACTGACTTCTCCTCACCTGCCTAGGTGCCCTGGGCCATCTTCTTCCTCTTCCTCCTCGCAGCCTCTTCCTCCACCTGGCCAAGGTTTGGGAATGGGAAGTCCTGGTTTGGGGAGCAAAACAAGTGCTGAGCGTGTTGGGTTTGATGGTCCCGGTGCCCAAGGGCAGCTGGAGAAGTCAGCGCCCCTTTCAGGCTCGGGGGGCCCGGACCCCACTCATCCCCAGCCTCCCGCACCCCTCCCGGCTGCCGGGGGTCCCTCTGCCCCGAGATCGTCCCTCTCCGGGGCTCTTCCCACTCCTGGGCTCCCGCGTTTCCCCCCTGGCTCTCCCGGGGATCCCCAGAGCCGAGATCACCCCCTCCCTGCTGGTACCGGGCCAGCGCCCCGTGGGACCCCCCGAGATCCCTGCGGGGCCGTTTCCGGCTCTGCTTTGGGCTCCTGCACAATCCAAACATCCCTGCCCCGCCAAAAAACCCTCCCGGAGAACCCCCGCCATGGGCTTGGGGCAACTCCCCCTCCCCGCTGACCTGCGGGCTCCGGAGGGGCGGAACCGGGGCAGCCGCGGCCCGAGTGGGGGAACCGCGTGGGGTTGGTGCTGCGGCTTGAAATAAGGCTTGAAATAAACAGGGCCAGGAGACTTCTTCTCCTTTTTAATGCCTTTATTACAAGTGATCAGCTCAGGATTGGGCGGCTCGACGGGTCTGCAGCGTTCGTCGTCTCTCAGGGCGACTCAGAGAAGCAGGAGGATATGCACAGCTCTGTCCACTAGGGGGCAGAGCTGGGGGATCCCGTCCTCGTGGGAGTCTTTTGGGCGCGGTAATCTCCGCCAGATGTTGGCTCGATCCGAGTCCCACTCCCTCCCAGACCTGGCCCGGGGGCCCTCGAAGACAGGGTGAGGAACAATGAAGGCCTCCAGCATCCCTGCAGGCCCAGCACTCCGCTCCTCACATCCAGACATCACTCCGGTCTCTCAACTCTTATTTGGCTCGTTGTTTTTGGGGTCTTCTCAGTACAGCGGGAGACGCACACATCATTCTGGTCTTGGAGTCACTTTGCATAACCCCCCCCTCACCTTCTCAGGTGTCTTCACTATTCTGAGAAAGGTACAACTTAGCCTCGGGCAAGGCTCTGCTAATACAAAAGGAGC